ATCACTTTAATACATATACTGTAAAAAACTCAGGAAACTGCCTCCATAATAGCGGCTGCGTAGGAGAATAGCAATTAGCTCACTTAAAGCAGCAATCAAAGCCGAYCTCAGCCGTCCAGAGATCCAACAACATACGAGCGATCGGGCTGAGGCAAGACGACAAGGGATTGCTCTAGGTCTCTACAGAAAGCAGTTGCTAATGGAAGGGTTCCAGAGAAATGTGGCAACCATCACTATCGCTAAATGTGATCAGTGGTTCAAATATATGCAAACGTATTTGCCACGATGYATAAGTGGCTAAGAAATTGAAGGCTAAAATAGTTTTTTWWWAAATCGCTAATGATTGTTTTATTTCTCTTATTGTTCATTCGAATCATGCAAATGTTTGTCGAACCACGCCATAGAATATAACGTTGACCCTCATGATTGTCCAAGCGCGTTATAGATTGTCAATGATTATGCTAATAGCACTAATGAATTTTCACTTTTGGGTAAATGATTGTCCATAAATGCTATTGTTTGTCATTTGGTGTTATAGAAGTTGAATTTCGCGCACAAGAAAATACATTCCGCGCATATGAATGTACGAACGCGCTATTGATTGTCCATTGATGCCTATGAATATACACTCATATTCAAATATCGTTATCGAAAGCTGATTCGCGCTAATGATGTTACTTGTAGCGTTGATGAAAGTACATTACACGTTATTGATACAACTATTGGCGCAAATGAATGTACATTTTCTGTTAATGAACAGCAAAAGGTGTATTTCAATTCACAACTTTTCTCTTGATAAGTTATAATCCTACAAATTAGTGCAAAGTTATGTAGGTGTAGGGTCTACTGAACTTGTACCTATTTTTTCACGGACATATGGTATGCACTCTAATGAAAATATTTGACCACTGTTTTGATTGCTATGCACTGATCAAGACAACACTCGCAACGGGGAGATCAGGTAATCGACTACCATCAACCAAATACAATCTTTAGAGTAATAATGTAAAGGTATTAGGAAACATAGCTTTAACGACTTTATTTAATTGAAGGTAGTCTATTGGTCAATTTTCCTGTCAGAACTGTTGTTTATTATCAGCGTGTAGCAATGTAAAATATATTTAAAAGTATACAAGTCGCTGTTGTCATTCCAAATTTATTTTATTTTGAAGTCCCAATAACAAGTCATCTTACATGTTGGTGTTATCATATTCATCATAATCTCTATTAACTGACATCCAAACCCTGTCAATACAGCAGCTTAAAGACCTCCCTGCACTAGTAGGTTGCAAGATTTTGGCGCATGCTATATTGCAATTAATTTTCAATGTTACCTGAACTCAATAGCTGCAAGTTGCCTGAAGCTGGTCTTCCACTGCTGTCAGTCAAAAATGTAAGAGGTAGCGACTCAACGGAACTAATTTCTCAGGATCACTACTGGTGTATCCAAGTAATAATCTTGATTTTAGTTTACCTAGAAATCTAGTCTAGAATTTTGGGATGCAAGATACATAAAGATGCACCAACAATGATCCTTTCTTTGTATAGAGTGAACCTGGATTGACACTGTTTGGATGTGTGTGCATGTATTGACAGAAATATCCCTTTACAACCACACAATAGTGCAAACATTAAACCTGAAATATTAAGGTATTACTTTAAGATTTTATTAAATAGACACTATTTGTGTCATCATGTGATGGCAGCCATGACAGGAAGCGCAACAATGGACTTGGGAAACTGAATTATTTTGCAAGTACACCAGATGAGATCAGGGGAGCTTACCATTTCAACCAATCCATCCTGTTGGAAATTCATTTGCTGATAGTAAAAAAAGGGCAAACTTTTTATGCCAAAAAATGATATGAGTCTACCAGAAGAACCGAAAAGAGCTGGAAAAATGATTACCTCAATAAGACCACGTTTTCTGGAACTTTCCGATTGGAATGACACATGCCATTATTTTGTTTTCCAACTAGAGTTTCCAGTTTTTCTGGTAAATGTTAAGCACCCCATATTCAATTGTTCCAGTCATGGCTGCCAACACGTGATGGTGCAAATACTCTATTGTCTCTCTTATTTGAATACCACTTGTTACAGTAATAAATATTTCATATTTAGTGTCTGCACCAATTAACACTTTCATTATACATGTAGCTAATATTGTTTTCAAATATATTTAAGGCATAATTACATACACTTGATTGTTTTGGAAAAGAAAATGATATAAACCAAGCATTCTTTTCATAAATTGTGATTACTGTTGAATTTTTAATTTTTTAATTTTGGCATTAAACGCCCTACTTGATGGTTGCCGATAGTAATAATCATGCAACAGCAAATGAAAAAATAGACTTCAAAAGAACCAGAGGGGTAAGTGAGAATATTGTTTATCATTCTACAAGACATAAAAAAGTACACTTCTCTAGTGGTATCTATCCTGTATTGAATTGTACAATTGGGTTGAATAGCTTAGGAGATGCTTGACTCACATGGTARTAACTATAAATTTCTATTTGTACTGGTATAGGTGAGTGCTTAGGTGGTACCCCATACGGCTACTATACCAAGAAATTCATGTGATTCAAGCTTAACTTAGCCTCGTAAGAAAGGACAATATATTGACAGTAGGTTCTAACTAGTTTTTTTAACATGCACACCCATCTGATTTCTGTTTGCTGTCGTTTGATAACTTGATTTGGTCTGGGAAATCATTGTATAGCTCCACATCTGTTTCCTGTGCAAGTGCGTTCTTTGCTATAGTTTGAAAAGCCTGTTCAACGTTGATGGCTTCTTTAGCACTGGTCTCAAAGTAAGGAATGTCATTCTTAGAATGGCACCAGGCTTGTGCTCTCTTTGCCGAGACCTGTTGATTGAGACATAGTGATTAGGAATTTATATTCTTAATTTTTCTGTGAAGAAATCCAGAGAAAACCATGGTGGCCTTTTCATATAACTTCTCCTCATTTTGACTGGATCTCACAAATTATCAGGGCTTAAAATAACAGACATCAGACAATGTCCGCCCAGAATTGGAACTTGGAACTGATTAATTAGTTCAATACTTACAATATTATTAAATTTACACTGTGTTTTGTAGTTAACTTGTGCCAAATTTAATTTTGAAACAATTTAATTGTTAAAGATTTGACAGCAAATGTTCAACTTACCGCTCTATTTTCTAAGTCAATCTTGTTTCCCAGAACTACAAAAGGAAAGTTTTCAGGATCCCTGGGACTGGCTTGAATAAGAAATTCATCTCTCCAACTGTCAAGGGTCTTGAATGTGTTGGGTTGCGTCACGTCAAATACCAAAACACAACAATCTGCACCCCGATAGAATGCAACACCCAAACTCTGGAATCTCTCCTGTCCAGCAGTGTCCCAGATCTGAAGAGAAATGAATAGAAAAGGAAATAAAATAAATGGGAAAATAATGGGAAAAACTGAGAGTTTAGAGGAAGGACAATTTGTAAGACCAACGAAATCAGTTTTTAAAACTAAGGAGGAAAGAGTAAGTACATTATAATATCATCATTTGAGTTAATTAACTTGGGCTTGGGGTCTATGGAGGAGTTTGAAGCACATACATTGACCCCATTGGAGGCAGTGTAAATCTATTTCCATGAAAAATATTTTGTCCTCTGCAAGGTAGTCATTAGTTCTCTTATGGGATTATATGGATATCCAAAGTATTGTGAGATTACCTTAGTACAAAATAAAACCTAGATGTGGGAAGTTTTATCTTAAATCTACAACAAGATTGGTCAATTAATACCTGCATGGTAACCAATCTGTCATCAACCATCACTTCTTTAGTTAAGAAGTCTGCACCAATAGTAGCCTTGTACTGATTACTGAATTTCTTGTTCACATACTGGTTCATTAATGATGTTTTTCCAACACTGCCAAACAAGAAAACAATAAGAATATATTATAATGCTAACCAAGTGCAAAACTATGATAATATCAAGGGAAGATAAACATTTTTCATTGGCATAGATGGTCATTTGAAGACCACAGTGGCTATGTTGGTGTACTAAAACAATACATTTTCTATCCTCGGGGAACTAAACTCTATTTGTATGCAAAAACCGTGCAAAAAATTTTTTTTATTGTTTGGTACACCAATATGACTGCCTTGTCACATGAGTGAAAACTCTCTATTCACTTTGATCAATATTGTCACTTAATTCCCCAACCAGAAATATACAAATGAGCATCAGAATGCCTTTTATAAGACTATCCACCTATCCAAGAAAGAGTTCAAGCTTGCATCAAATTATCCCTTACAATAATATAATGTAAAAATGCTATGCATGCATTTATCTAACCATTCCTTTCTGTTCTTCCTACCATTTAAGATGAGGTGCATATAGTTATAACTTGGCAAACTTAGTGATATTCAAAGCTACTGCAGGACATACTTACCCACTGTCTCCGAGAATAATAACCTTCAGAAGCACCTTCTTTCGTGAAGCCATTATGTGTCCTCTAGAATAGACTGATAGATAGAAAAGAAGTTAAACAGTAAAAATATTTAAGAAATTTAACARTAACCTTAGCATTTCTATGCTATCAAACACTTTCAAAACTATAAAGTCAGCATTAAAAATATAAAATTGAGAAAAAATTTTAACACTATTTTCCTCAAAAGAAGYACGGCCATCAAAAATAAAACAAAATAATATATTTTCTTTGGGAGAATATATTTTGCAGACTCTGATTTGACCTAGATCCTGCAGACATGCTGTCTCATAGAGATTCAGGATTCAAAAGTGAAAGCTATCCAAATACAACTGGAATAAAAATAAGTATGATTTCAGGAATTCTATTGGTTGCAAGAATAACCACGACTTCGAAATGTAAAATAATATTTAACAAATAATCATTAATGTAAAAAGGTCAAGAATAAATATTAAGAAATAAAAGTAAAAAATTCCAATTAGATATTGTCAAAATATTGTTTCCTAGAAGCTCAAAAACAAAAATTAGGAAAATAGAGGATCTGGTTGAAAAATTTTGCAGAATAGTTCAAAGTACAAACAAATGCATTAACATTAACATACTGTGTATAATTATTGTAATAAATTCTTCCAAAAAGAGCAATGTCATTCCCCATAGAATCAATATATGAATTGAATTATTTTTAATTTAGGAAGATAAATACACTTTAAGTTTGTGTTTAATCTTAGTAAAGTCTTATGGTTTAGCACTCTATGTTGCGAAACTAGATGTCACAATCGAGATTCGTCCATCCCGTGGATCGTTCATTATTACAAAGAACTAAAACAAAGAGCCTAAAAACGAGGATCCTTACCGTTAAATACTTCAAAATGAACTGGGATTTATATCTGACCTATGCAATGATTATGATTTGTATTTTTGATGTCAAAAAAGCTGGGTGAAACAAAAGGAAGGTGCTGCGATTTGAGAACAGATCATTACCCCCTTCTACCTTTCGTACTAAACATTTAACGAATTTCAAAGCTCAAGAAACCATCAGAGCCTTCATTATACATTCCTGAACATAGGCCAGTTTATATATATTAAACTTACCAATTTATATAGAAAGAATTCGGAGATATAACGTCAAATCCAAGAACTTACGTGAAGACTTCACCGATGTCGACAAAATGGCCGAGGCGTTTGCGGTGCTTGTCTCGTGACCATCCGAATATACGCGATTGCGTCACATAACACAGGGTGACCACCTTGAATTCGAATAAATTTGATYCTAAAAAGTTTAGGAAAAATATCCTCAAACGCAAAAATAGATTTTTCAGCAAAATAATAGGACTCAATTTGATAAGATCCATTAAAGAGCTTTTTTTGTTCTTTTTATTTTTGGAGATTATGATCGAGATTAACTGGAAACAAAGGTCGTCGAATTGTCGTAAAAGCCGACGTTTTACGAAGACTTCCGAGTTTGTTCCGGAAATATGAGATTCCAAGAAAAAATCGAGAAAAATCAATATGGCGCCCAAGTTGAAGAAGTCTCCTAGTAAAGGGTATGTTGGCGGAGTTGGAGCGTTTATTATGGACTTTTATCGAAACCCATTAAAATGGTATGTATCGTTGTTATGTCTTTTATACGAAACTAAGACTTCAACTTAATTTTTGACAAGRCATTCTAGAAATTTTATCTGAAAAGTCTGGCACGTGCTGGGCCCCTTATGAGGTATAAAGTTGCTGTATCATGTTTAGTTAGCCCTGTCGATTACGTAATTCTGGGCTAAAAAATATATCTATCTCTAAGAGAGTCAGACAACATTCGCTATAGACGTGCATAAGTTTTTATAATGTTTTTATTATTGATTCTATATTATGAATCTAAATTCATACCATGCCATGGAGTACGATGGCTGGGGCTATGTGCAGTCAAACTTCATATTGTATAGTCTCCATTTATCCAACTCCACCCCTACATAAATATCTAAAATGTTTTGAAAATGTTGTTCATTATTATAGAAACCAACCAAAAATTATGGTACCCCTATAGCCCCCTCTCCTGCCCCTAGAGAAATAAGCTTGCCATTTTGTTTGAAGTTTCCAGATACTGCATGAAAGACTTCCTGTTTAGAAGTCTAGGACTAATGTTTAGCAAAGTGAAAGGGGCTGGGGCAGCTTCATCCTCTCTACTTTGTACTGAATATGTTCACATAATTTTCGGGAATTATGGGTGATGTAGCCATCTGAGAGGGCTTGCCTCTCACCAAGGCAACTAGGAATTGAGTCCTGCCAGACTTTGTCATAACCTCTTAGGCTTTCTGTCCACCTTGGACTGGTTAACCCAATTAGATTTTTTTATATTGTCTCCCATACCAATTCCGGTGTCATACATGTGTGTAACAGTCATTACATTTCTAAGCGATTTTAAAACTCATCAATCAATGTATATATTTTGTCATCCGTACAGGCAAATAATCAAGCATACTGGTATATTCATTGTAGCAGTTATTGCAGTTAGAGAATTTTCTGACATAGATCTGATGGCACCTCCTCCAAGTCCTTGAAAGGTATAGTACTGTATCTGATTTCTCGTCAAATAATTCTTTTCAAAACGGTGTGTAAAAAGGTTTTCATCAATAGAAGGTGCCACCCGTGGCTAATTGCAGGATATTTAGTCCAGGACATTTCATGATCATATTGAAAATCATTATTACTAATCTACATGTAGTGCAGAACACAGCCACCTATTTTCTGGAGAGAGCCTCCAACTCCCAGGGGGGAACTCTTGCCTGTTTAGGGTAGGGATGTGCCGCTGAACCCTCTTAACCCTGACCCTGTTCCAGAGTAAAATCACTGAAAACCATACCCTGTTCCAGAGCAAGATTGCTGAAAACCATACCCAGTTCCTGTATTGTGAAAATAGATACCCTGTTCCAGAGAGGAGAGAGCGTGATTTCATATACCCTGTCCCAGAGCGAGAGCAATTTTATATACCCTGTTCCAGAGTAAAATCGCTGAAAACCATACCCTTTTTGGCGGCACGTACCCGTATAGCGAATATAGGGGAGTACCCCCCCCCCCCCAGGCTCCAACTTTAAAAATTACTGAATCATTTGAGCATATATACTGGACTCAAGGGATTTTGAGTTGCATGGTTGCACACACTCTATTGGAAAATATTTTGATGTCTGTTGTTCATGCCTAGATGCAGACGATGGTAACTGCTGACCAGTGTTTGGAATGAGGAAACTTATATGCAAATAATTATCAGTAACAACCATTTTTTCTAATCTGTTGCAGAAATCTACCAATCAAATGAGCTGTCCCATGATGGGAATGCTACTGCTGAAGTGGAATACGTTCATTATATTTTAGGAATTTACAATATTGTAACAATAATATGTAACTTATTCAAGTGGATATGGTAGATACATTGTGAAATAAAGTTGTGATTTTTTTATTGTTTTTTGGTTTTTGAAATACCCTTACTCAATAAGATATAAAGCCTCCTCTTACTTTAATGCCAGACAAGAAGCAACAATAGACCTCTTTACCTTGTTTATAGTGCACTATGTCCAACAAAAATTTCAGTCATTTTGAGTTAATTCTCAAAGAAGTATTCTCTATTTGCTAATTAGACTTCTTACAAGGATTGACAACATCAGTTGACAACATCATTTYGTAATTTCTACATTGAATAATTATCTCGGCAACAAAAAGAGATATCAAAGAAAAGTAAACGCAATTCTTATTTATTCGATAAGGGGTTTCAAATCATGAAAAGATCCTGTAGGGTTAATGACAGGGTTAATATGGGTTTTTGAAAGTCTTGGAAAGTTTTGGAAATCAATAATGCATTTTTCCAGGACCTGGAAAGTTTTGGAAAAAATTTTTTTTCGACCACTGGGCTATGGAAAAGTTATAATTTTTTTCTGTTGGTTGCCCAGGTCCTACCTTGCAAAGARCTCTTTTTGTTGTATTTTAAAATTGAAAACACTGATGTTTATTTTTTCCTGCTGCAAATCAATGCCCRCTGGCACTTTTGGTCAGTAGTGCCATATTTGGTATTGGTTTGTATATTCATTGTTGAATGTTTTTAATCCATGAATTTCAATTTATTTTTTTGCTTATGTGGTTTTGGAAATTTTAGTTGATAGGATTTGAGAAACTTTTGGAAATTTTCACAAGAATATGTACGAACAGTGCCATGCCTTAGATCAGCACAGAGAGTGCTGGGCTCCCTGTGGTTTTGTTCTACACGCCGTGCATTTGGGGTTATGAGGTTTTATAGACATGCGATTGATTGTGTAATAATATCGGCCTTATGTCAAGATACCGTGCAAGAGTAATGGCGCTGCTTCGAAGTGAGTTCTCTCTCCTCAAAGACAAGGGCTACATTGGAGGCAAATGGATTGGAACTGAGAAAACGTTCCCCGTTTACGATCCTGCGACTGGACAAGAACTTGGACAAGTGGCAGACATGGGCCAGAAGGAAGCAGACTTGGCCGTTAAAGAAGCTTATAAAGCGTTCCAAACCTGGAAGAAAACCACAGCGAAGGTGCGTAAGAATGTACGGATAATTCCTTTATTTCAATACGCTTCTACGAAGAAATTTTAAGGCTCATTTGTGAATGAACAATCAACTGGTTTATTAGTCGGCATTGAAATAAGCTTGAATTTRATTTATGTCTTAAGGTCTTTTCTTGTTCTATTCGCGAAAGATATTTTTCAAGAAACAAAGTGATAGAACTTGCACCTGTTTCTTYAACAAATAAATGATGCATGAACGTTTTCTTAATGAGCTAAATTATATTTCGTTTTATACTCTGGTCAACCATGGAATTCATCAACCAAGCATGGTCATTTACAACCTGGAGTGGAGAGGGGAGGGCAAGGTTGATGGAAGTTTAGTTACTATAGCGTTTTAGTTCGACAAAAGAAGACAGAAAAATAACATTTGATTGAAAAACGATTTTACTGAGCAAAGCATAAAATATATATGCACCAGATGATCATGACCTTACATTTTGCCTTGGGGGGGTGGGGTCAGTGTTAATCTTTACATTCTGGTAAAAGGCAGTTGCATCCATTGCAGAATCTTTCTACCACATTTAATATTCTAACTACAAGGGCTAATTTAATCTTACTTGTTCATATTTGCTGAGGGAGGGGAAAAAAACAGAGAACCTGGAGAAAAACCGGCTCTTTCTTGGTATTGCAGGCGACCAGAACCATGAAAATAATAAAACAATAGCTGAGAACTATGATTTTGGAGCTAAACAATACCCTGCAATATACTACTCTTCCCAGTAGACCAAGGTAGTTGTGATTTTTTAATCGCCTTCGTAGCRTCTGTTATGTTAATAATAATCCAGAAGTACATTTCAAATCGACCACGTGATGCCAAAACTTGACTGAATTTTGATCACGTGGTGTAAAAAACTTGTCCTCGTGGTACAAAATTGGCATCGTGGTCGATTTGAAATGTACTTCTGGATAACATAACAGATGCTACAAAGGCGATTAAAAAATCACACCTGCCTCGGTCTACTGGGAAGAGTAGTAACAAACGGCAACCCAGGAYACAATACATCTTGCAACAGCAAGGAATACCCTAAAAACCCTTGTGGCAGGGGAGAGAACAATGCATCAAACAAACTCTGTGTATCTGTATGGGAAGGAATTCATTAGCCTGACCATGCCAGTGGGAATCTCAGTATTGAAAGGTGTATGCTTTAAAGAGTATGCTACCTTTACCATCCTTACATTACACTGTTTGATACCAAATATCTCTATATTTAGAAGATACTCTAGCCTACCTTTTACATGGAAGGGACATTTGATTGTTGTCATGCTCATCAACTACCATGGGATGATGACAAAGTCTTACAGTATATCATTCCCATGGAAACTACAATCTCTGGGTGATTAGGGTTATGGATATTTTATTTACAAATTTGAATGATTTTAGGAGCGTAGTGTGATGCTGAAGAAGTGGAATGACCTCATTCTTCAAAATCAAGAGCAGTTAGCCAAGCTTCTGACTTCAGAGCAGGTTTGATACAAATATTTTTGATACCACTTGCAAGGGGAGGGGAGGGGAGAGGAGGGAACAGAAGAGAAGAGAGGACAGGAGAGGACATGAGAGGAGGGGAAAGGAGAGGAGAGATAGAGAAAGGAGGGGAGAGGAGAGGAGAGGAGGGGAGAGAAGGGGAGATCAGGAGAGGAAAGGAGGGGAGGGAAGGGGAGGGAAGGAGAGAGGAGAGGAGGGGAGGGGAAAATATTCAAAAATATTCTTGAGTCAGCATGAAACAATGGCCCGAACACAAGGTTGGTTGGACTTGATAAGATACATTAAAATGTACATGATGTTTGAACCTCACTTGGAGACATTTTTTTATGGTCACTCAAACCAATTCAGGAAAGCTTGAAGTTCAAATGGCAAGGTCTTTCACCACGAAGAATATACTTTTTAATCGTCCATAGTAATTTTACTTTCAATAGGGCAAACCACTGGCTGAAGCCCAAGGTGAAGTCAAATACTGTGCATCATTTGCTGAATGGTTTGGTGAGGAGGCCAAGAGGGTGTATGGTGAGATCATTCCATCACCAATACGTGGTCGTAAACTATTAGTGCTAAGACAGCCCGTTGGTGTAGCAGCACTTTGGACACCAGTATGTTTAGAAAAATCATTATTTTTATTATGTAGCTTACTAGGTCCATTTGCTGATTCCATCTGTGCGCAGTCTAAGAAACTGCATACGTTTTCGTAACAAAAGTAAACGAGACCAAGATAATTAATAAAATATATATGGTTAATTAAGGTTTTATTTTTCTTTCAGTGGAACTTCCCTCTTGGAATGATAACCAGAAAAGCAGCTGCAGCACTTGCCGCGGGGTGYACTGTGATCATTAAACCATCTGAAGAGACCCCTTACTGTGCATTAGCCTTGCAGCAAGTATGACTTTGCATAGCTTTAAAGGTTTTGCATGATTGCATGCYGACAGCCATGCTAGATGTCAGTCAGAGTGATAAAATTCCTTTACTCTCAGGAATTGAATTCTTTCTCATGTAAAATGATTGTATTGTTCCTGCCATCTAACATGGTTGCCGTCATCATGCAAAATGTTTCTTTGTATCAGAGACCATAGAGGCAGGGGGTGTTCTTTAGTCCCTCTCTTATCTTTTTAGACTTTTTAGCACCATTTCCAAAATTTCAAGGGGTGGAGAAAAGGAGGAGCTTTCCCAAAACCTTTAGATTATAATAGTCCCCCACTCAAAATATCATGCTCCGCAGTACTTGTATCACTTTCAGCACGGTTACCCAATATAGTTGTATAATATGAGATGTTGGAAGATAAAAAAGGGACATGTCTTTACTGAAAATACTGCTTTAATTGAAAATATTATAATATTGATGTCAGAGCAACAGACCCACCCTTAACTTAATAAATGAGGCTAAAGCTGTATGAATTTAGCGAGACAGAGGATTGTCATAACAAGTAATTTTAAATGTATATTTTTGAACCTTTAGTTAGTATTAAATATTTTATTTGTTTGCAATAATGTAGCTTGCTGAAGAAGCAGGGTTCCCTCCAGGCGTCATCAACACATTGACATGTTCTAGGGATCAAGTTAACATTGTAACAGATGCTGTACTCCAAAGTGACTTGGTTTCAAAGATGTCATTCACTGGTTCAACGACTACTGGCAAGGTATCCAGATAAAAAAAAAACAGGAAAAATTATAACTGTGGACAATTAAATAAATATAATGAGAGTTAAGAAGTTAATTTTTGTAAAGGGAGGGGAAAAAATTAACGCAGAAGCTAGAAAAGCAACAAGCACCTTGCACTATAATAAAAAAATGCTTTTCACAAAACCCATCAGGCAATATATAGTAAGAGAGGTTTTTCAGGGCTTGATCTGTGAGTCAGCCTTGCCCAGTGACTTCAATTTTTTGATCAGCCCAGGTGTTGTTTCATGGTTCCAATAAAATTTGAATGATATTTTCACAGATTCCTTTCCATTTTGTTGTGTTTGTAGATTTTAATGGCCAAAAGTGTAGACACTGTGAAGAAAATGTCCCTTGAGCTAGGTGGCAATGCTGCTTTCATTGTCTTCAACTCAGCTAACATAGAACAAGCTGTTCAAGGTGCAATGTCTAGTAAATATCGACATACAGCCCAGGTACAGTATGGCTATGTTACGGGTTTTAGTGAATGTCAATCAAAATGTTTCCTTGATGTTGTCAGGAGACACAAAGTTTTCAAAGGCACTTGGCCACCACTTAGAAAAAGCTGGTAAGATTGGCTTCACAAAGGGGGGTTCCAATTTCATTCTACTGAGTACAAAGAACATGAATGGCTTCACAAGATCTCACAAAGGGGATTTCATGGCACCCACAAAACCACCCCTGAATCTGCAACTGCTCTGCCACTGCTCTGATGCTTATATTACATCCACGAAATGCAAGTCAGTTAAGAGACTTGTCAAGAATGTTTTCTATAGCCATAATAAACTATTCAATATATATTTTTCGAAACATCTTTCAGACTTGCATTTGCTCTAACCGCATTCTTGTGCAAGATGAAATCTATGATGAATTTGCAAAGCGCTTAGCAGAGGCGGTGGACAAAGAACTGAGGGTTGGTAACGGCATGGACAAGAACTCCACTCAAGGACCTCTCATCAATGAACTTGGTGTACAGAAGGTAAAACATTAACAATAATAATGATGGTAAAGATGATGATGGTGATGATGATGATGATAAGATTAATTATGGAAATTCAGTTTAAGGGATCCGAGTAAACCAAATTATTATTTTTCAGTTCTTAAGACCTTTTAAACCTTTATATGGGGGGGGGGCATGCATGACTAGTCACCCCATTTACAACACAGGGAGCCCCCTGAACAGAAATGGGGAAGCTGTGCCACCATTGGTCAAGACATGCACACTCTGCTATAAAATAGAACTTACTGTACTTTTCTTACTTTAATTTGATTCTCAATCATAGGTTGAGAGGCATGTTTCTGATGCACTGTCAAAAGGTGCCACATTATTGCGTGGAGGACATCGTCATGCATGTGGAAAAAACTTCTTTGAGCCAACAATCCTTACTGAGGTTAACACTGACATGTTGATTTGCAAAGAAGAAACATTTGGTCCGGTTGCACCCCTGATTAGGTAACCAGGATTTTACGATGACCTCAAATTTKATCAATTCCCTGGAAAAATCAGGGCATTGATAGCTTACAGATCAAAATAAAATTTAAACTGTTAGGTTTTATGGAGGGAGGAACACCAGAGACCCATAGAAAACACCTCGGATCAAGGGAGAGCCCTAACAAACTCTACTCACATGTGATGCCGAGTCCAGAGTCCATTCTAATTTTATCAATATTCTGAAAAACTCAGGGCATGGATAACTTACAGATCAAAATGAAATTTAACCTGTTAGGTTTTATGGAGAGAGGAACACCAGAGAGCCCAGAGAAAACCCCTCAAATCAAGGGAGAGACCCAACAAACTCTTCTCACATGTGATGCCGAGTCCAGAGTCCAGGAATTGAACCCAAAACCTAAGTAGTTAGAGTTTCCAACAGTCATCGATAGTGTAATTACGTACAATAATGTGGTAGTGTCTGTCGGGTTCGTCTGTAGTTGTTTTCTGTGTTAACTTTTGTGATATACAACATACCACAAATTCAGAAAGATGTGATGTACTTGATGAATTTAAATGTTTTTCAGATTTAAGACTGAGGAAGAGGCATTGGCCATTGCAAACTCCACAAACACAGGGCTTGCTAGTAAGTATGTCACCCTATGACAATGTCAGTACAGGTTTTGGTAGTTGTCAGTAAGGCGTCCGTGGGTTGTAAGTAGTGCGTAGGTAGGTCTTGGTAGGTTTTCAGTAGGGTATTGTTAGGTTGTCAGTACGGGTTTTGGTAGTTGTCAGTAGGATGTTGGTGGGTTGTCAGTAGGGTGTTGGAAGGTTGTCAGTGCGGGTTTTGGTAGTTGTCAGTAGGATGTTGGAAGGTTGTCAGTAGGGTGTAGGAAGGTTGTCAGTAGGGTGTTGGTGGGTTGTCAGTAGGGTGTTGGTGGGTTGTCAGTAGGGTGTTGGTGGG